AAAAAAGCTGTAGTAACTCCCATATACATTAGGAATCAATGAATCTTTTCCTGCTAGGAATCAGCATTATTTATAAATTTGCTAATATGATAGGTATGAGGTAAAAATTTCATTGTTCTAGCCAAGTATTTACTTTTATTTTACAACTTCTGGATTTTTGTTTTGTTTTAAGTTGTAGTTGGACACAATACCTTCATTTGATTTATTTATTTTTACGTAAAATAAATAAATAAAATTGATGAGGATTGAATCTAGAGCCTCAAGCGTGCTAGGCAAGTGCTCTACCACTGAGCGACAACCCCAGCCCCCAATTTCTGGTTCTAAAGGTTTCTACTCCCTATGCCCTCTACCAATGTTTTTCAAACTGTGGATCATGAAATAAATAAAATGGGAAATATTTCTACTTTAAAAAATTATGGAAGAGGACATACATCAAGGGCATCACACATAGTAAAGGCAAGCAATGTTCTGTGAAACTTGTTTCATTTTTTTACAAATGCATTATGTTCTGGGTCACAATGTAAAATACATTTCATATTATCAGTTGTGGTAAAGAAGTTTGAAAACATCACCCTAATAAGTACATGTAATGTCCTAGATTTCCCAGCAAGACATCAAGGGGTTTATCACATTTTAGTTTTATATTCATATGGAATTTACTTCTACAAGTGATAGAATTTACTTTCCTACAAGTATAGGAGAGGCTCAATTTTATTTTTTTTCTCAATACACAGTTGTGCCAGTATCATCTATTAAAAATATGTCCTCCTTATCTCACTGAACTGAAATGCCAATTTTGTCATATATTAAATTCTCATTTATACTGGAATCTATGACTATTCTGTTCAACTATGCCAAGCACATAAAACATTTCAATATCTTGAAAGGAAATCCCTTCTACTCTGTTCTTTTTTCAAGTTTATTAGTTATTCAAGGCAGTTAGTTATTCTTTCATATAAAATTTATAATTTTGCTCAGGAGGTTGAGACAGAAGGATCACGAGTTCAAAGCCAGCCTCAGCAACAAAGAGGCACTAATCTCAACTCAGGGATGGCTTTTCAATTAGCAGGAGTAGTATGAACAGTTAGTTACATAGGGTGTGAAAGAATTTGTTTGGTTTGAGCAATCATCAGTAGTTATTTGTGGCTACAGCTTGGAGTGTTTGTAGACATTGACAGTAAAAGGTGATAGAATTAGAATTTTAATTAGAATTCTAAGCAATATTTTATTTATTGTTGATTATTTTAAATTGGGAAAAAATTATATATATATATTTTTTGTACTGGGATTGAACTCAGGGGCACTCAACCACTGAGTCACATCTCCAGCCATATTTTGTAT